CTGGGGCTGGGGCCGTGGGGGGGTCGCAGCTTGGATTGAATTGAATGTATCACACACGCATATCAGCCCTATCGGCCGAGTGGCGGCAGGTCCCAGTCCGGCGGCGGGGCAGGCCGTCGGGGTGCCAAAACTATATACAAAATAGAATACTTGGCCAGTTGGCCTTCTTTGGCCAGTTGGGGGGGGGGTCGCACCTTCCGCCGGAGGCCAGTTGGCGGGTCGCGCCTTCCCCGGGGGGGCAGCTGGGGGTCGCGCCTTCCCCCGGAGTGGCGTTGGGCGGCGGCGAGGTGGGCATGAGCAGCGGGGGTTAGCCAGTTGGCGGCGCCCTGGGCGAGAAGGAAAAGAGCCATACACATCCATATATATATTCCAGTCCACCTCCCGGAACATATCCTGGGCGGGGGCCGCGGTGGGCGCCGCCGCTCGGGCCCGCCAGTTGGCGGGGGGGTCGAAAACGGCCAAGTCCCCGTTCTGCGGGTTCGCGGGCCAGTCTGCAAGGCCCAGTTTGTATGGGAAAACGGCCCGACGCACGGACCACCCCATACAGAACCGCCCCCCTGGGAATCGCGTCCGCACCATCGAACGTTTGCACACCATCTCCGGACCCAACTGAGGCCGGTGGTACTATGTGGAAGGTGAAAGGCGAGCTCAGCTCGCCGGAAGCCTCTGCATCCTTCCCTGCTCGGCAGGCTGCCTCTCCGCGCCCGGTGGTGGTCAGATTCCCTGGAATCGCACCCCGGCCGCGGTGGCAACCGCCCGCTGCGGGCGACGGTCGACCCCCCTCGGGGGCGAGGCCTCGCCCAAGGCGACCGAAGCCCGGGGGCCCTCTGGCCGCCGGCACCGATGGGGTCTGTGGATCATTGGCCGCTGGCCAGCGTTTCCGTCCAGATTCCCGGGGGGAGCCGCCGTGCGATATCCGCTGTTCGCCAGCGTGCTCGCGCGGTCCGGTCCCCCCACCCGAGGCCCGTATGCCGCAGCCCGCCAGCGCCCGCGAGGGCGTCCTGCCGGGATCACCTGCGTGCGGACCGGTGTCCTGGGGAGCTCAGTGGGGGCAATTGGATGGTCGCGCGCGTGTCCCCGGTAGCC